GTTGTGCGAGCGTGAGTCTCGCTATGAGCACAATGCCGATGCGGCCAGCCTGCGTCGTCGCGGCTGATCAAGTCCCGCCCGTGACGACATCTGGTGATGCTTCACCGATCGACTCTCCAAGCTCAGAGCGCCTCTTTTCCGACGACGCAGTGTATTAGCCTTGCAAGCTAGCAGACACTCACCGCTCTGGTCCACAGCCAGCCAGCTTGGCTAGGCCTGTCCTGTGTCAGACGGATGTGCTTGTTGGTGTCGACGATGGCGTCGCCTGTAGGTGGAGAAGCCCGTGAGCGGGTGCTTGATGGCGGCGCACGGTGTCTGGAAGGCTCCATCCTTCACAGCTCCGCTAATGACCTTCACTCTCCGCAGCTCCATGCGCGCGCACTCACCTCCAAAGTCCCAATATTTGTTTTGCAAGTTGGAGTCAACGTAGGGATTGTAGATGGAAGCCTGCCTGATGGGAACGATCGCGTCTGACTTCAGAAGCCTGTTCTGAGCTGCGATCTGCCCAAGGATACCCGAAGGAACGATGAAAAGGAGCGCTACTGCGAGTGCAAGTGTTGCGGCTCGGTCGAGACGACCCGCTCCACGAGCCATGATTGCGACCAAGATTCGACTCTGGCCGCAACTTTCGTTGATGTTCCACGCGCAGAGGATCACGCGCTTGCCTTCGATCTATCGATGATTGCGTGCTTCGCAATAGGAAGGGGCTGCTGGGATGTTGGGAACGAAAGGTGGGACGAATGTGAGAGGTCAAGCATGGCGAATAATTGTGAGTGAGACTGTGAGACTTGGCTTGGCTGCCTGCATATATGCGCTGTTCCCACCAGAAATCTAAACCCCGCGCCCGCGCGTCCAGCGAAGCACTAGGAATTGTCTCTCAAGCCTTCTCGTACGATTGAGCTGCAGGGCGAGCGTGCAGCCTGGCTCGTGCGCGTGGATTAGACACCTGCAAGGCACGCGCGACTCGCAACTCGCAACTCACGGGCTGACTACATATTTGCGAAGATTCAACTCACGATTCAATCACTTTACAGGGCCCAGCATGCACGTTGCCCGTAACTCTCCGCTCCCACCCCAGCCACCTCATCTTACTTGCCTGCTTCTTGTGCGCCTCGAGGAGCTCGAAGAGCCGGGAAAGACATCTCGCTGCAGTCAGTGAAAGCTCACAAGACCGGCGAGACCAGCAGCGCCCTTCAGGACGCGAGGCGCGCACATCGGTCTTCAAGGAGTGTGGCAGGCGAAGAGCGGAACCTCCCGGGGCTTTGCATGCCAGATGCCCTAGTCTTCACGGATGGTCAGTGCAAGCAGCTGCTAGCCAGCGATGGCCGAAAAAGCGTGGAAGGCCTGCTATGGGGTGCTATTGGTGTTGCGATTGCTTTGCGCCATAAGAGGCACTGGCTACATTCATCCTGATGAGTGGTTTCAGTCTGGAGAGGCAATAGCAGGTTAGTGCTGGCTGTATGCTGCTCAGATGTAAGACATGGCTCACATAACAATGCGCCAATCAGGCATACACTCATCCACGTCCCTGTTGAGGACATGGGAATTCGATGCAGCTTCCCCGTCGCGCTCTCTGGCCAGCCTGCACCTCTTTCAATTTCCGCTCGTGGCGTGGGTCCACCTGAACTGTAGGTTTGGAGTCTGTAAGTCGAATCGGACACGAGCGTGCGTACATGAGAACGATCTCCTCATGTAGATGCCTACCCCCGAAGCCGCTAGCTCCTACTCCTTGTTCCTGGCGCAGAGGGCCACCTCTTTCTTCACATCTTTGACACTAGGTGAGCCGCTCGACACCAGAGGCCAGGAGATGGCAAGTCTGCGTTCGCATGCCATGCAAGTCCTGCCTCACATAAGATGTTCGCTATATCAGACTTTGTCGCAGCACGTTTGGTCGCTCCTTCGACCCGACAGCGGCTTCAGACGTACAAGACTCTCTGCATTCTTGGATCCAGCCATGCTGTCCTATCGCTATGCACCCGCCCTTTTTCCAATGGCGCCGAGGCCGCACTGCTTGCTCTCTGTCTTCTATTGACTCGAGCAGTGGTAGGTCTGTCACATGCTGAGGTGTGTGCGGCCATGACGTCCTGCACTATTTCACATCAATCACACCTTGCTGACGCATGCTTAAGCCCCCAGTCGCGCGCGTATGTGCCCGTGTGGGTAGCTAGGCAAAGCTGGATTAGGTACTGCTCCGCACTTTTTTGTCTAGGAGCAGCGGGCCTCTTTGTGCGCTTCACTTTCGTGGCCTTTGCTTTGCCTTGCGCTGCATACGTCGCCGTAGCAGGCATACGATTGTGCCGGTGAGTGACGAGAGCGTGCCCGCTGCAGGCATGAAGAGGCAAGAGGTTTGTCGCATGCTCACATGCCTTGCTTTGTCTCGCGACATAGCAGGCAGTCCATCCTCTCTACAGCAGCATTGTATGCTTATCTGCTCCTCGAGACGCTGCCATCTTTCGTCTTTGTCGTTTTGCTCCATATATGCACCGACAGCAAGCTGTACAGAGGAAAATGGTTTTCGAGTCCCCTTCTTTTGGCCCCAATCAACTTGCTTCGATACAACCTCGATCCTCAAAATCTGGCGGAGCACGGGACGCACCCTCGGTGGTTGCATGTGGTGGTCAACGCGCCGATCGTGCTCGGCGCATCTGTCTGGCTCTATGGCGCTTTGAAAATCTCGCTCTGGGCGGCCGGCCGGAAGGTGGAGAGACGTAAGAAAGTAAAAGGCAAAGCAAAGGAAATTGATGTCGATGCAGCGGTGCAGCTGACGATGCGAAAGAGTGAGTAGCCAGTGAGATCAAAGGCAGCCAGCCGTATGTGTTCCACGAGCTTGCGCGCTCAATTTCGTGCCCGTCTGCATAGTCTACTTGGCCACGGTCCTGGTCCCAATCGCTCTGCTTTCCGTTCAGCCACATCAAGAACCTCGCTTTCTCTTACCAACAGTGCTGCCGTCGACCCTTCTATTTGCCGAGGCATGCTTTGGAGAAGCGCATCGGCGGATGCAAATGGGTCGACGAACGAGAAGATTGCTCGTGAGTACAGGACCAGCACCTGTTCATGCACTGCCACACTCTCATCTCTGTGTGGTTTGCCTTTGACCTTTTCAGCTTAGCTTGTATCTGCTACAACACGCGGTCCTGACTATTCTGTTCTCATTTCTGCATCACGGTGCCGTCTTGCCCACCCTATTCAACATTAACAACGCGCTTTCAGGACGGAAAAGCGCGGGATGGCTGCCATTGTCCGACCACACAGGGCCTGCTTCGCCTACGGCATCCCTCCACATCATCTTCTGGCGCACTTTCATGCCTCCGCGACACCTCATACTGCCTTTGCAGCCTCGCGGCTCATCTCAAGGTGGCAGTCAGACTCGCTACCCCACCATCTCGGACCACGGGAGCATGCCAGCACGAACACTCGCGGCCTGGTTGAGATCTACTGGTCGGACCCTTTCGACTTCTCCAAATCAGTCGCGAGAGGAGCTCGAAGCGGAAGATGACAATGAAAGGCATATTGCGCATTCTCGGCAGCTCGTAGTTGCACCTACCTGGGCTTTGGCAGACCTTGAGCGATCTCTGGATATGGAAGGCGAGCAAAGAGAGACTGATCTCGTGCGACTAGCCACCTTCGGGCCTCAAGTAGATCTCGATCATCTTGCGGAAGTGATGACCACTTGGCGGCGCGAAGCTGGCTGGGCTTCCTTGAAAGATGCAGCTAGCATTCAGCTTGTGGAGTTCTTCGACGTGAAACAAGCGGCGAGCGTTCACAGGGAGCCTCCGCCTGTAGCCTCGATGCACACACAGAGCTAAGCAAATGGAAAAGCAGATTACGCGACGAGACGGATCTGAGTGATATTGTACAATTGAGATGCGGAGCGTTTGCGTGCTAGTCGACGCTCTACTCCAGACGCTCCACTATGTGGGCAACGCGGTTGATCAGCCTGAGCACCTGCTGCGCAATCTGCAGAATCAGGATTTTGGGCAACAAGCGACTTACGCTGATCTAATCTCGCTAGCACGACGTGCTTGCTGGTCTCTTCAATCTCGCCCGCCAGGAAAATCTCGTCCAGGATCGCATAGACCTGCGTGCGAAGAGTTGAGTTGGGGACAAAGAGGAACAGGTCGTGAGGGAATTGGAGAGCATTGCGCTCGAGAGGTTCCGGTCTGCAAATGAGCGCGCTTTGGCTCACCTTGTAGAAGTTGAAGACGAGGTCCAGCTCGCATACGTTGCCGAAGAAGGTGTCTTTTGGAAAAGTGGCAAAGAAATGACGTCAAGGCTACAGTCGTGCCTTGTGCGTCTCTCCCTATGAAGATGATTGTTGGGTCTCGCGACGAGGTGCGCTTGTCCCATTGCATCCGGATTTGCCTTGGCTAGCCCTCATCAACCCTCGGTGCTTTGATCTCCTCTTTGTCGCGCGAGCACTCACCTAGGACCTCGACGAACAGATGAATCGCTTCTAGGTATGCCAGCTCGTTGTCGTTTGCATCCACACATACGCAAAGGAACAATCCAGCGTACCTCCTATACACCACTTTGTGATTACGAAACTGATCCGTAGGGGATGAAGCAGAGTGCGTGGGCGAATGAGAAGGCCGTCTGATACGCTCAGGTCATCGAACACTTGTGCACAGCGTCGAAGAGGTGAGTGGAACAGCTCTGCGCGCGCCACTGTGCCATCCTCGTCGTAGTGAAGCAAGGCGACATGCTCCTTCTCCCAATTTGATCCCACTCTTCTGCCCCAGAATCAAAAAGTCTCCCCCCAAACTCACCTCGACAAAGTTGCTTTGATACTTTTGATCCCTAGGAGCTATCAACCGATGCACCTCCCCCTTTACCCTCACTTGCTCATCATCTTCCATCGGAACGTAAAATTTGGACAGTCGAGATTTGCCCTGCCTGTTTTGGATCAGGATGAATCGAATCATCGTTGCTGTGCTTCGCGTGGACCTGCAAGCCGAAGAGTTGTGCGATGGCGATAGCGATGGGCAGTCGTTTGGATTCACAGCTGCTGGAGGGGATACTGGACCGATCCTTTCAGGCCGGGTCTGTGAAAGAGGAGATGCAGATGTCGACAGGTGGTACGACTGATCAGCTTCGAGTGGAGATAGGCATAGCCAGGTCAAGATGGTGGAATGAACGTCATAGACAGGAGGAGTGCTAAAGGAGAGAGCTCGAGGCATGGAAAAGTCGGCTTTCGCGAAGCATACACCTCGATCAAGAGTCGCATTCACAGCCACTGTAATGAGTATATATATTTGTGACACGCCCGGCATAAGAGCTACGGCGTAGCGAGCCGCACGGGACAGTGTGTACGTTAGAGTATATGTATGTGTAA